TAACCCAAAATGCGCATCAGAGACATTATTTTTAATATTTATAAGGAAACTGCTCCGATAGATGCATTTAGCATACCTGCACATTGGCGATACCTGCCTTAAATATTGTGCGACTAGTATCAATTACCAAAGAAAGTATTACCTTTACCTGCACTGGCCCTACAATTACCTAATTTTATACTTTTTATTTATTTTGTTCATCTCGCAAAACAACGAAAATGGCTATAAATTTATGTAGTTATATAGATAATTAGATACTATTCGGTAAAAATTTCGCATTATATGGTTTAATAGGGATTTGGATAACTTCCTCATTGAAGTAGTAAAGAAAATTCGCGTAAGTGCCTTTTTCGGTTAAGTGCACAAGTTTTTCGTGCAAAGAAGCATGTGCAGCTAAGCAAAATATACTGTATTTATAGGTATATCGGACTCAAATTTTGTCACTTTTATATTATTATAATTCTGTTCTTGAAAAACTAATTTTGTTTGAACGGTCTGTAGAACTCCATTTACAGCTTCATTAACTTCTAGCTTCCTTCTGCTAAACCCAAGAAAGTGTCCTATACTTCTTGAATGAGAAAAATCAGTATGCATAGACGTCGTTATTTTAGTTGTAAGAGTGTTGTTGATAGCTTCAATTAAAAGTATAGCTGTTTCATCAATATCTTTTTAAGAGTTGAAGTTAAGAAAAAGGCGATATCTTTAAGTTCATAGGAACCTATAGGTATTTCCAAAATGAAATAAGTTATTATAGACATCTACGTTAGGTATAGAATTATCTGTTGCAAAATTTATAAGCCCACAAACATAGCGTGAAGATATTTCAATTGACGGAAAATATTCTCCCACTAAAGTTGAACTATTCCCAGTTAAATTAATTGTTATTGACATCATGAAAATCAAATTAGAAATAAAGTTAAGTTTATGATTTTTCTATTATTTATGTTATTTAATTTTTTATTAATCCAAGAATTATGGTCATTAGAAATCCTTAACCATTAAAAAAAAAACGCTGTTTCCTTTTGTTTTTATGATCTTTTAAATTAAAAATGTGTTTGGATAATGTGTTTTTAATAATTCATTTTCATAAGATCCTCCAATTATTGGTTTTCTTTGATAATCTTCTTATAAATTGGTTATAGGATTAGTACTTAATACGAATTTTAATAATTTCAGTGGTCCATTTTTATGAATATCCTTTATCAAACACATGCTAATATTTACTAATGAGTACATGATCTCCGACTTTCAGTTTACCAGGTTTAAAAACTTTGATATGGTTATATGCTTGTTTAAGTATAAAACGTTCATTATTTTTAGCAATAGAAATAATGCTCTATGTCTTTTGATATTATGTTGTTCTATTAAATCTTTATGTATATTAATCCATTGATAATTTCCTTTTAAACTAAATCTTTTCCACATCACTTCTTTAAAATGCTATTGAAACGTTCTACAATGGAAGCTTTCATTATACTATATGTTGAATATTGATTAATATTATACTTTCTCATCAAATTTTGAAATTTTTTATTTTAAAACTCCTTACCGTTATACGTTTGCAAGTTTTGTGGTATTCTTTTTTCACTTCCTTTCGATTTAATAAAATTATAATTTCTATGACTTAATAAAGTTAATACTTGTATACAAATTTTTAACTTGTATGAGTTAATAAATTTTATACTAGTATGAAAACACATAACTTCAATGAGTTAAAAAGGCTATTACTTGTATGAAAAAGTTGTAACAGAGCCAAAAATATATAAGAAAAATATGAAATTGCTAAATATGAAATTTCATAAAAATAATGCATGCAAGAAACACTAGATATTTACTCGACTTTTTTGCACATTGACAAAATCTATCAAAATTTGGAACTTATGTGAATTAATAAACTCTTACTTATATGAAAACTAATGAACTTAAATAAGTTAAAAAATTTAATACTTATATGAAAAAGTATTACTTGTATAAGTTAATAAGACTATTACTTGTATGAAAATTTGGAACAGAAATAATAAAATTAGTACTTGTATGAAAATTAATGAAATTATATGAGTTGGTAAATTTAATACAAGTTATATTTTGTATGGGTTTGTAAAATTATTAGTTGTATGAAAAATTTTAACAGAGTCGAAAATGTTTGGGAAAAATATGAATTTCAAGAAAAACGCGAGGAACTCGATTTAAAATTAAGAAAGCTAAACTACCTTATTGGCAGGCACTCAGGCCTATCAATCCACAACATATTATTGCTATATAATCAAACTCTAAAACCAGTCTGGACTTATGGCATACATTCTGGTACATTGCCACAATCCAGCGTGTTACAGTATTAAGCAATTAATAAGTGGTATTGCTGTAAGGTCTAAAGCTTAAGCACTCTTAGCTCTCTCATTGTAAAACTGAATTAATAAAAGACACTCCTTGTTTGTCACTCGTAGAGTACGGTCGTTTCTATTGCAAGCGTTTCTTCTTAAAACATGGTGTCAGATTAAAACCACACAGAATAACACAAAAAAAAAATTTTATAAATAAATAAAAAATTAAATAAAATGTCATACAACGAGTCGCGGTTGCAAATATTTATAATTTGAAAATTTACGATATAAGTCTATAAGTATAGTTTTCGATCGAAAAACATGCCAACGGACCACGTGAAGTCGGAACTTTCGACGTGGCGTAAAATCGTTACGCAAGTTGCCCAACCAAGGCCTTTAAGCTTTAAAGGCGATATAAAAGAAAACTTAAAAATTTTTCGTGCGAGTTGGGAAAATTTTATGATCGCGTCAGAGATTGAGCTCAAGCCAGAAAAAACTAAAGTCGCTATCTTAATATCAATGCTAGGCCATGACTGTCTGGTTAAAATGCAAAATTTACCCTTAACAGAGTTGGATAAGTCAACGTCTGAAAATCTATTAACCGCCCTAGAACTACAACTCAATCCCAAGACAAATATAACCTATGAAAACACAAATGATTACATTGTTCACCTGCGAAAATTAGCAAAAACATGCCAGTATGGAGACGCAACAGACGAATTTATAAAAGACAGATTAGTAGTCGGTATAAGCAATAACGATATTAGAAGAAAATTGCTACAGGAAGACAATTTAACCTTAGCTAGGGCAATATCAAGTTGTAATTCGTTTGAAGAGACAGACAAACAACCTAAAAGCATGGCCGCTGGCGAATATGTCGAAGTGAACAAAATCGGTAACAGCGGGAAGTCTAGAAAAAACAATAAAAAGCAAAGCTCGAAAAATGGCCGCGTAGACCAACAAAAAACATGCAAATATTGTGGTCCTAAACATGCATGAGCAAAAGAAAAAAGCATTTTTGCGGACATAAAGTTTAAAGTAAAAGGACAAAGCACAAGTGTTAAATGTCAACTAGATACCGCTGCAAGCTGTAATGTTGTTGGTCTCAAATGTTTACGAAAATTGCTAGATGAAAACAACATAAAGCTTTTGCGGAGTAATGTTAAATTAAAGTGCTTTAGCGGAACCATTATAAGCCCAGTTGGACAAATAGAGCTGAAATGTGTACATGAGGGAAAAAAGTATAAAATTAATTTTCAAGTAGTTGATGGTGAACAAATACCGCTTTCGTCAGCTACCGCGTGCATATCAATGGCTCTGATACGCGTTGTAAACAATATAAAAAACGAAACCTCTGCACCAAGAAAATCACTAAATAACAGTGACATCGAGCATGCAAAAAGTATTCTTAAACAATTTGGCAGTGTGTTCAAAGGTGATGGCCATTTTCCAGGTACGGTAAAATTGGAGCTGAAACCTGATGTAAAACCAAAAATTGACCAACCGCGTCGGATTCCAATCTATATAAGAAAAGATTTTTTAAAAGAAATCGATAACTTAGAAAAAATAGGAATCATAGCAAAAGTGGCCCACGCTACGGACTGGACAAGCAATGTCGTAGTAGTGAAACGCAAAAACAATGAAATTCGCGTCTGTTTAGATCCTTTTAATCTAAATCAAGCACTACGAGTGCCACATTTTCAAATGAACACCATCAGCGAAATATTGCCTAGTTTTCACGGTGCTCGCATTTTTTCCACTTTCGATGCAAAAAATGGATTCTGGCAACTAACACTAGATGACGAAAGCAGTCGTCTAACAACGTTTTGGACACCAAAAGGTCGCTATCGCTGGCTACGTATGCTTTTGGAATTTGTTGCGCTTCTGAAGCATTTGCCGAGAAGCAGCACGAAGCGCTAATTGGTCTAGAAGGTGTAGAATCCATAGCTGATAATGTAGTTGTTTTCGGGAAAGGTACCTCAAATAAAGACGCCTTAGCACAATAAAAATTTAATTAATTTTTTAAAACGAATGTCTAAACTAAATAAAAAGTTAAATATCGAAAAAGTTAAACTGTGCCTATCTGAAATTTCCTTCTTCGGACACATCTTGACAAGTAACGGATTAGAGGGTGATCCACAGAAAATCAAGGCAATTTTAGACATGCCAACGCCAATTAACGCCACAGAAACCCAACGTCTATTAGGTATGGGGAATTATTTAATGCAGTTTCTTCCAAAACTATCTGAAGTCGTTGAGCCAATCCGAAAAACTCTAAAGAAGGATTCAGTCTGGACGAGGTCTTGAAGCAGCGAGCAACCACCGCTCCAGTATTGGGCTATTTCAACGTCGATGCCGATGTAACTATACAGTGTGATTCATCGCAATTCGGTATCGGAGCTACATTTATGCAAGATGGTCATCCGATAGCTTTTGCTTCTAAAAAGCTCATAGAGACAGCGATATGCACAGATCGAAAAAGAGTGCATAGAAATAGTTTATGCTTGTAAGAAGTTCGATCAATATCTCTGTGGCAAAGTAATCAAAGTTGAATCTGACCACAAACCGCTTCAAAGCATCTTCAAAAAATCAATTTTATCAGCACCACGCCGGTTGCAGAGAATGCTCTTAACTTTGCAACGTTATAAATTAAACGTCACATACAAACCTGGTAAAGAGATGTGGATAGCTGATTTACTCTCAAGGGCAGTTACTTCGAACAGCGACAAGCTCATTCAAGAAGAAGAAGAGATTTACGAAATTAAAAAGCTTTTAGTTGAACTGGAAGAAATACGCAGTATAGAGTTGCTTCCAATAAGCGATGAACGAGTTATAGCGATCCAGAAAGAGACTAAGGCCGATGTAACACTACAGCAGCTGGCGTACTTTGTGCTAAATGGGTGGCCAGATAAGAGGTCCAAAATTCCAAACTCCGTCAAGCCGTACTGGTGCTATCGCGAACAAATAACTTCGGAAAACGGGTTGCTTCACAAAAGCGACAGAATCATCGTCCCTGCGAAGCTGCGCGAAGACATATTACGCCGAGTTCATGCCAGTCATCAAGGTACTGAAGCAAGTTTGAAACTGGCCAAAGAGTCAATATGTTGGCCAAATATCAATGCCGATATTAAGAAGTGCATTGAAAGTTGTTAAACATGCATAAAATTTGACCAGTCGTCGAAAAAGTTGCCGATGCAATCACACGAAATACCGCAGATACCATTCAATCGAGTAGCAATGGATATTTTCGAAATAAATAACCCGGTCACCAACAGGAAATCAAAATACTTGGCCACTGTTGATTATTTCTCTGACTTCTTCGAGTTAGATGAGCTAAAAGGTATGTCATCGAAAGAAATAATTGAATGCTGCAAAAGAAATTTTTCAAGACATGGCATTCCAGAAATCATTGTATGCGATAACGGCACGCAACTAGTGAGCAAGGAAATTTTAAGCTTTTTTAAAAGTTGGGAAATAAAAGTGACAACATCCTCTCCAAGGTACGCGCAATCGAACGGCAAAGCAGAGTCAGCAGTTAAAATTGCAAAGCGCCTCATTAAGAAAGCTTTGGACAGTGGCGAGGACGTTTGGCTAGCCGTGCTCAACTATCGCAACACACCAAATGCGATTGGTTCAAGCCCAGCACAAAGGCTTATGTCACGCCGTCTCCGCTCGGCGATACCAGCGCATCCAAAAAAGCTCCTACCAGAAGCACAAAAGAACGTACATGACAGAATTATGCGAAAACGTCAAATAGCTAAATCGTACTACGATCGTAATGCTAAAACGCTGCCACACCTGGAGGGGGGAAAGAAGTTAACGTCAAGTTAAAGGACAACAACGCAACTGCAGAGCGGGATAAAATTCAAGAAAAATTTAACACTCGCTCTTACATCGTCAATGTGAAGGGAAGCTTGTATCGTCGCAACATTCAAGACATCAGTAAAGAGTTGCCAAGCGCAACTGAATGCGAAAAAATCACTAGTGCAGAAACTAGAGAACCGTCAGCCCCAGACAGTTTCGCAGCAGCAGCCTCCGAGCAAAGCGAAATCTGTATTGACGATGAAGACGAACGCGACAATCAACATCGTTTTAAACGCAACCGACGTTTGAGTTCAAAGTCAGCAGCTGAGCGACCAAAACGCAAACGTAACAAGCCTAATCGTTTTGGCTATGAATTAACACTCTCGCCATTTAATAATTTTTTTATTCTTTTTACCTAGTATTAACTTTGGGTCATGTTATACATTTACATACATATATAAATATTCATTTAACATATTTAATACAACTGAAGTCTGAAATATAGGTATATGCATACACCCGTAATAAAAAAAAATGTTTTGTTAAAGAAGGGAGATGTTACAGTATTAAGCAATTAATAAGTGTTATTGCTGTAAGCTCTAAAGCTTAAGCACTCTTAGCTCTCTCATTGTAAAACTGAATTAATAAAATACACTCCTTGTTTGTCACTCGTAGAGTACGGTCGTTTCTATTGCAAGCGTTTCTTCTTAAAACACAGCGCTTCCACAATAAAGTGTTGCGATCAAAGATAAAGCATCAAGTCTACTTAAAACGACTGCGCAGCATAGACGGCTCAAGCGGAGAACTGTATCAGACCTGATGGAAAGCGAATAGCGGAAATGTTACTTATATATTTGTCTACAAGTGTATAAGATACAGAAAGCTTTTCTTTTATCTCTTAATTTACTCGATACAAATTGCTTGTTAGTATTATATTTGTATATATATGGGTAAGGCTTCCTCAAGTGGGCACCGAATTTACCAAAATTAATATTTTTCAATGATATTCAGGCAGCGCCGACTTTTGTAGTCGAACAGAACACTGTGTAATTTTTGTTGCAAAATTCCAAATAGTGTTTTTTAATCATTAATTGAAAATTTTTGCAGTGTTTTGGAAATTCTCATTTTTCTTTGAAAGTAAGTGTCCGACTGAAAAAATTTTTTGGGTGCAGATTTAAGAAACATTAAACCATACAATGAAATTATTTGCGTTACAAAAATAGTTTTTTTGTGCTTTTCAATAAATTTTTTATGAAAAATTGAATTTTTAAGCAATTTCTACGCCTCGAGGACGCAAATTTTTAACAACTACTTATGTAATAAATATTTCTGCATTTATCTATAAAAAAAATGCGTGCATTTCGATATAGTTTGGTCGCAATGAGTTTTTATTTGCCAGCGTGCGCGGCCGACTACCGCGAGCATGCGAAATTCGAGCATGAGAAATAAAAGTGGAACGATTAAAACGTGCATTTCTTTCTTGCGCAAGAAGTCAACACGGATTGTGCGCGATCCAGCCACGCGAGCCATGAGAGCTTCCATTGTAGAAGGTTTCGATAGAATTTTAAAGAAATGATGTGGAAAAGATTTAGTTTAAATGGAAATTATCAATGGATTAATATATATAAAGAGTTAATAGAATAAAATAATCTTAAAAGACACCACAGTTGGACAATCCCCTATTTCTATTGCTAAAAATAATGAAAGTTTTATACTTAAATAAGCATTTAATCATATCAAAGTTTTCAAACCTGGTAAACTGAAAGTCGGAGATCATGTACGTATTAGTAAATATAAGCATGTGTTTGATAAAAGATATACATCAAACAGAACCACTGAAATTTTTAATACACAAAATACTAATCCTGTAACCTATTTATTAGAAGATTATCAAACCAATAATTGGAGGATCTTATGAAAATTAATTATTAAAAACACATTATCCAAACATATATTTAATTGAAAAGATTATAAAAACAAAAGGAAATAGCGTTGTTGTTAGATGGTTAGGGGTTTCTAATGACCATAATTCTTGGATTAATAAAAAATTAAATAAAATAAATAATAGCAAAATAATAAACTTAACTTTATTTCTAATTTGATGTTCATGATGTCAATATCAATTAATTTAACTGGGAATAGTGCAACTTTAGTGGGAGAATATTTTCCGTCAATTGAACTATCTTCACGCTATGTTTGTGGGCTTATGAATTTTACAACATATAATTCTATACCTAATGTAGATGTCTATAACAACTTATTTCATTTTGGTTTGCATACTATTGAAACGTCAGTTGAAGTGAGAGGATGCAAGAAGCAGAGCTTAGTTAAAACAATTAAATTTAAAGTGAATAAAGGCAGTT